TCATAACAGTTTCTCAAAATATTATAAAAATAGGGATAAAATATAATAACGATTAAATAGAACAATCCGGACACCGGCCCATCGGGATGCTTTTAAAAATCAGACACTGGCAAATTCCCACCTTGCCACCCCTCAAACAACGCCACTGGATGTAATCAATTAACACTTCAACACATATATTTGCGTATCATATCACACTTGAACAATATAGACTGTATTTTTGGTCAGCTCATCCCATCTTCATCATCTTACAAAGTGGTGCGAGTCCCTAGGGACTCACTGGATAGTATAAAAGCCCGGCCTCCTGGCGAAAAACGTACCTTGTAAAAAAAGGAATTTCGTTAAAATATAAAGTTCTGCTTACGTATAACATAATCGAACATAAAATCATGTAATGTGTCGAGTATTCTTGATCTGTTTAACTATAATATTAAGGAGTGCTACACGTTTCCCTAACCAAAAAAATATTCTCCATGATAATAATATGTACTTTTGGATTATCTACACTTGTTATTTTTGTGGTTTGAAATGTAATAATCAATGTAATTAAAATATATCTCAACAATCTTACGCTAAAATATTTTAATAATGTACGTATAAGTTGTTCCCGCCTAAAGTTGAACCTAAGTTTAATATTATGGTTTATAGATAATTCTAATATATTCATTCAGGATGAAAATTGGAGTAATAATTTGTAATATACATAGGTAGGTACTATCGGAATTAGAATCACCTGTTTGAATGAAAATAAAATGTCGAGGGTACATTGTATATATTAATGATAGTAATAATAAATAAACAATTAACTGCGTTTTTCACTAACTGATATCAATATATATATATACATTATACACAGATACACTTACCTACAACCTACACTAACTATATTGTAAATCATATTATAAATGTATAACTTAAAATTGTAAATGTAATAAGTTTGTGAAAAATAAAATGCATCTGTGCTTTGAAATATAATATTTAAGTGATAGTGTAATTTATTGCAATTATTTGGGCAATTTTAATGTATTTGTAAGACTATTTTATTGTGTATGTATATAGAATTTATCCAACGCACAACAGAATTTATTACGTATAAGCTTAGTGACAAATTACCTACTGGTTAGTATCCCGAATTGCAAGGCAATAACAATCTAATTATCATGGTATGCATAATATCTTATATAGGTATTAACTATATCTCAGTAGACAGAAAATCATACAATTTTTCCGAGTTGGTACACGGTATTTAAGCTTTAAAATTATTAATTATTTAATTATGAAATGTATAGATACACAAATATTTCTCATTATATTATATTTTGACATTATTATTTTAAGTTTTAATTAGCCCATAGTTTAACTAGGTTCATTATCATAGATTCATAGCTAGCCCGATCGTGTAGGACTCTTTTGTAATTATTTTCATTGATTTATTATTTCATGAAGCAATTTTAACGATGTTAATAAATAATTATTATAAAAGTACAGTGAACAAACAATGGAAAATGTAATATATAATTGGGTTATAATACGATTCCAATGAATTGACAATATTATTATCTTAGGTATACATAAGTAGGTACAATGACTGTATTTAGCTTATACATTATAATGTTATCGATATTAAATTCATCTAAGAAACATTGACCTACAAATTCAAACTAAATTATGTTGTTATTATTAAAAACACAATTATGATATATTTAATGTATTTTAGATAGTACGTTTGTAAACTAGTATTAGGTACAGTACAGTATGGTACACTTTCGTGTTTCCTCTTTGTGAAACAATATAGTTTATTTAGATACATCAATATATTACATATTTACTGTGTATTTGTTCATAAAATACATTTAATTCCTCAGTAAAATGTTAAATATTGGCGAACGGCGTTCCGGTGTTCGCCAGAGACCCGCTGGATTTGTTCAAGACTTTGATGAGCTCCGAAACCAATGCTTAAAACAAAAAATACTATTTAAAGATCCAGAATTTGATACATACGATTTATCTGTATTTCACAAAAATCTCCAAAAAAATCAGCTTGAGTGGCGGAGACCAAAGGTGAGCATACATTTTAAATACATTCTATTAAAACTATAACATCTACTCAATCAAATTATATTATGTGCCTGACCACTTGATAATAATAATAATCATAATAATATTAAGAACTGGATTCTTAGGAAATTACAAATGATCCCAAATTTTTCGTGCAAGGAGCTTCGAGATTTGATGTAAGGCAAGGATAATTAGGTAAATATTAAAGGAATAATTAATTGTTAAAGACTGTTTGTGAGTATTGGTTTCGATACGAAACATTTTAGTTACATAAACTATTAGGTAAACTATTAAAAGTTAGTTAATAATAACTAAAAATATGATGTACATAATCAATGTTGACATGCTTTTTTTTGTTTATTCTGGAAGGTGACTGTTGGTTAATAGCTGCCATAGCAAATTTGACTTTGGATGACAAACTTTTTTATAAAGTAGTGCCTTTCGATCAAGGATTCCATATTAAATACGCTGGAATATTCCACTTTAAGTAAATATATTTTAAACTCTATTAATGTATGTGTGAATCGTACCTACTTTAAAACATTGGTGGTTTTAGATTTTGGCAGTTTGGGAGATGGGTTGATGTTGTTATTGACGATCGTTTACCGATTTATAAAGGAAAGTTATTATTTCTTCAATCATCAACCAAAAATGAATTCTGGAGTGCTCTATTGGAGAAGGCTTATGCCAAGTAAACACAGTAAAATATAATAATTTTAATAGTTAATTACTTATATAGTAAAATAAAATAATATACGTAAGAGTGTAAGATGTAGGTACAATTTTCAAGTTCATTCTAATATTATTTTTGAATTACAATAAAATCACTGAAATCGTTATTTTTAAATATCCAATTTCGTCAATAGTTGAATTTCAATGTGTATTAATAAAAATTGGATTGTGCTTATATACTTTTTTAATTGCTGCGTTTCAGTAAGAACTGTGAGGTTATAAGAAGTCCGTATTAAATTTTTAAGTAACATCTATATAATTTGAACATAATTGTTTTGAAATTACACTCATTTATTTGTTTATTGTTCTTGTAAGGAAAACTTATGTGATATCTTGTATTTTTTAAATTTTAGTTACAAAAATTTAATTAGTTTGAATTTAAACTTTTTGCAAATTGTTATGATCCCCATGTCTAATAGTCATTTAAATTACTTTAATATCAGTTAAATATGTACCATACAATATAACTAGTAATATTATAGACTGAGAGACCGTCTTCGCCCAGAATCATTTTTCGTATACAATGAAATTATATCATTATGAATTAAAATCTAGCACATTCTTTATAGCAGGTCCTTATTACACAGCAGATTACCTTTTTTTATTTATTCTGATTAAGGATTATATTGAAAAGTGTTGAGTATACTTTTGATGTCCGAATAAAATCTAATTTGCTGTAAGAAGCTCCACTATTTAAATTAAAGATCAATTTTTACTACTAGGTATAAAAAGTGCACACAAATAAAACAAAATATATATTATACGCATTATTGTAGAATCAATATGGGTATTTCCTAACATGCAGTCTACCGTCGTTTTGTGTAAGTAGGTACTACCTAACTTTATAAATATTAGTATGCATAGTATGAGGTCTTCATAATATGTTTTTGTTCTACTACAGGTAAAATGATCGTATTGATACTTTCAAAATGTTATCTTTGTACTTCCCGGTGCATACCATCGATACATCGAAGACTATTAATTAAAAGTAAAGAAAATGTGCCTTACGAATGAAAACTTATTAGAGAAGTATACTTAGCCGAGAATTGGTGGCGAGACTTAAATAAAACTGCTAATATTTTTGATTTGTTCTTAAAAGATATAAAATTATGTTTTCTGAATAATCCATAACACCTTTTTTTTTATTCCTAAAATAATTATTTTAAACATTATTTTTTTTATAATTTATTTACTTTTCTTAATTTTCCATATTTTGTATTAATAAATTAAAAGAAAATAAATTCAAGTTTTTCTTTATTAAAAATCACTTACTAAAATCGCTATTTTTTTATGCATACCTTTTTTTAAAATTTATAAAATCGACATTTTATATAGTACAGGCCTCCTACTTTTCTGTAATTTTCACTACGGTAGACCACATATCGGGAGATAGCCATCAATACATTTGTAGTTCTGCTCAGAATAAAATAACATAGATTTATTAAAAAAAAAACAATTTTACATGACTAGAATGAACGGTTCATACGAAGCTTTGGAAGGAGGTTTCACAATGGAGGCTATGGGAGATTTCACTGGTGGTGTGTCAGAAATATTTGAACTGAATAATCCACCATCTAATTTGTTCATGATTATGCTAAATTCATATCAACGAAAATCGCTCATGTGTGGTGCAATACTCAATTCGCAATCGGTTAGATTTTCAACTTTATTTAAAAAAATGTTTAGTTTTTAATTTTCATCATTTTAGATTTCATTTATAAACTGTATAAAATGTATTAATGTTAAAGCCTGACCCAACCAAAACAGGATTAATCAAAGGCCATGCATATAGTATTACCAGGATAACTTATATACCTTTACCAACAAGAAATAGTATAATACCTTTAGTTAGACTTCGAAATCCTTGGGGTAATGATAGTGAATGGAACGGCCGTTGGAGTGACAAGTAAGCTTTTTGTTATAATGTGAAGATTCCTTTTTTTTACTTAATGTTATTTATAAAAGTGCCATTTTAATTTATTAATTTTATAATATTTTATAGATCAGATGAATGGTTAACTATACCCCCACAATTACAACAATCAATAGGTCTTATAAAAGAAGATGATGGCGAATTTTGGATGTCTTACGAAGATTTTGTCAAATATTTCACTGCATTGGAAATTTGTCATTTAGATCCTGATTATCTAGACAGGGAACAATTTGGGACAGGAGTGCAAAAAAAATGGGATCTGAGTATATTTGAAGGCGAATGGGTCCGTGGTGCTACAGCTGGTGGCTGTGATAAATTTCAAGGTACAATTATTTTGGATAATAAAATTATTATTACAATTCGTAATGAATTATAATAATATATAAGATTATAAGATATTATATATGAGATGTTGATCAATGGTTATTTAGATACGTTTTCAAGTAATCCTCAGTACTATGTAACATTAGTAGATCCAGACGATAATGACAATAAGCATACTTGTACCGTAATTATTTCATTGATGCTCAAGGATATGCGCTGCCAAAAGAAACACAGGGATACATCACTGTCATTTGGATTTTATGTTTATAATGTAAGTAGGATAATAAGGTATCATAATTTTTTTAAAAGTTATTCTATTACTTTGATAATAATACAAGTTGTAAAATGTACATATTATTTCTAATGATGCTCACTCTATTAATTTATCGCATAGCTCAACACTTCAGAGTCTGTGCCGAAACCATTGGACACAAATTTTTTTAAAAATAACCGTCCTTTAGATAAGTTCTTTAATTGTCCTGAGTTCAAACCAAGAGAAGTCTGTAAGAGATTGAATGTACCTCCTGGTAAATATTGTATTGTAACTTGTACGTCTAACCAGAATGAACAAGGCTCGTTTTTACTCAGAGTATTTTCAGAAAAAAAAAACAATTTGGCGTAAGTGTTAGGCTGAACTCAATTTTTAAAAATAATAATAATTTGGTGTTATTTTTTACAGGGAGTTCGATAGTGAAGTGGGAATGGTTGAGATCGACAATAAGGTAAGAAATAAAAAAATATATTGAATAATGTAATAAAAATAATAAAATTATGCTATTTTATACAAATTATACATTTTTTTTAGATAAAAGAATTGGCACTTTACAGTAACAAAAGTGACGATTCTAATGAAAAATTAAAAAAATATTTTCTCAAAGTAGCTGGGAGTGACAAAGAGGTCGATTGGATGGATCTTAAAAAAATTTTGGATTTTGCTATGAAAGGTATATTTGTACGCTATTACATTATTAGCTATGAGTTTTTCTATGTTGGTACCTATAATATACTTGAAAATAGCCTTTGCATCTGACACCGATTTACTGATTTTGTTTTTTGAATTTTCATAACAAATCAAGCATTAATTATTAAAGGGATTTGATACAGACCATTTTTATAGAGTTCAGTATAGAAAATGTTCTAAATGCATGTATGTGTGTATAATAATAAATAAGTAATTATAGGATTGATCTGTTATGTGAATATGTGACCAACTGACTGAGGTGTGGAATATATCGGCACTCACGAAAACGTCACAAAAATGTAGTCAGTTAATAGTATTTTATAACTAAAAATAATGTAGGTATTTTAAGTAGATGATAGTAAATAAATAAAATGTACCGACAAAGCTACTAGGCACTAGCCAGTAGGTAATGCGGTAAAAAATCTTAAAACATATTTCAATTCTTTACGAAATACGAAGTTTACTTTTTGGTCACCTTGATAAATCATAACATTATTTTATTTATTTAGTTTTTACTTCTGTACAATCACTGTTCAAAAATTCCTTAATTTTCGTATTTTAATTACAAGCTTATGTAAACATTTTGAAAAAAGAGTTGATCGGTATCAAAAAAATTTCATACAAATTTCTTACAGTGATTACCAAAAAACCTGGCAAATAAAAATAAAAATTGATACTAGTTAGTCGTATGACAAAAATTATGAAATATGTATGTATGTATATTGTATACATCTAATACGTATGTACATGTGTATAGCATTATTTCTCATCATGTACCTAGGTCCGTCTTAATTAATTATAATCCTTGTGTTTCATGTTTAAGTACACTATTAAAAAATACATAGTAAAAAAAAAAAAATGCTTATAGTATAGTTTAATTTGTAAGAATTATTCCAAGAAAAAAATACCGATAATTTCTCGTTAAACAGCCATAATTTAATCCCATAATAATTGACAGTTTAAACAAAATACCTGTCGTAACAAACGTACAATTTTTAATAACTATACCTTGAGGCAAACAATTAAACTTGGAGTTCTTACATTTTAACTTTACGTGAGCAACAGGAAAGCTTAAAGGAACTGTGTCACTAAAAAAATATAATGTAGATTTATTAAAATAGAAACGAGTTTTTAACACTTGTATACTATTTATATTATATGAACCTATAGGCTATATTTGAATACTTATAAGACAATTATTAGTTGATTATTTAGTTTAATCATAAATAATTGTGACTATTATAAGTTTTACTCATTTTACTATATTATTAAAATAAATATTTCAACTTAAAAAACGATTACTCTTTCTGATTAGGTACCTTAATTATTGACATCATAAATGTATTTTAAGTCTTTCAACTAAACTGATAATTAGGTATAAGCTTTGTCAATGAAGATGTTGATTGTTTTATTGATTCAAACATCTTATTAATTAGAAAATATAATATTTTAGATACTGGGAACACAACATTTTCAAATGATGTATGCCGGTGCTTCATAGCTATGATGGATTGGGATAGATCAGGTAAACTTGGTTTTAAAGAATTCCAAAGACTATTGGTGGACATTAGACAGTGGCAGGTGAGAAATACTATGACTATGCAACTTTAAGGCCTTTCATTAGGTTTTCAAAAATATATAATAAATTGTTTTGTTTCAGGTTGTTTTTAAAATGTATGAAAAAAAAAACAAGGGTTATATCAAAGGGTTTGAACTAAGACCAGCCTTAAGTTCAGTTGGTTACCATATTAAAACACGAACCATAAATACCATGTGCCATCGATATGGGAACCATAAAGGATACATAATGTTCGACGATTTCATCATGTGTGCCATTAGACTTAAAACCACGATAGGTTAGTTAAAATTTCATTTACAAACAATCATCCGAGTTGGCGAGTTGTGTAAATTGTGTTAGTGTGTTTCTAATTGAACGCCTCGACAGTCGGTCGTGATATAAGCGAAAAAATGTTGGCAAATTGATATGACTAGGTAACTAGGGTGTTTTGATGATTGACTTATTTTTAATTGATGTTCGTTCATACCTATATCTATGAATAACAGTAACTACATCGCAATCGGTGCATCCCAAACGACTCTCATCCGCATATTGTTTGTTGAAAAAGGTTTCACATAAGTTTCCAAACGACTCTGATATTCGACAAGAAAAATCTTTATGATTTATTTTTTATATAAAATTTAAAAAAAACACCTACATATCTTTACCCACCACCCTTTTGAAATAGTCCTAAGACTGTGTGTAGTGTGAAAGAATTCCTAATTTGTATTGTCAAAAATACCCTATGGCCCTAGGTAGGTGTTCTCGGTTATAATCAATACTCGAGTATATTGGCGTCGATGTACCTTGTTTTGTAAACTAATTTGACCGAGTCGGTAATTCACCTGTGGCAAACATCATATTTGAGTTTATTCTAAAACCTACTTTTTATCGATTATCCAGTATTTTTAAATTTATTACCATAAATACTGAAAAAATTATGTAAAAATAGGCATTAAAAAACAGCTATATAAACATTTTTAGAGATGTGCTAAAACTAAAAATGTGGAAAAGTGGATCTCAAGTATAGACGAATTGATATATTCTAATCTGTTTTTAGAATTCTTGTCACTTGACTAGATAAATCGATATCTCGTAATCAAAAAATGTTAAATCCATTACACCTGTCACTTTTGTATTCTAGAATATTGAAAATTATTGCTTACATTCTTCTTAACATTAACACACACTTTGAAATTAAACTTAAAATAATATATTAAAATAATTTTGGTTCATTATTTTTATTTATTTAATTGGTGTATATTTTTTTTAGATATTTTCAAAGAACATGATATTGAAAATAAAAACATTGCCTCATTTACTTTGGAAGAATGGGTGGAAAAAACATTTTACTCGTAAATTTAAATATAAATTTTATTTTATTTTTACGAACATAATAATTTTTTTTTTGAAAATAATCTTTTACCGTTATCGATGCAATAACTTAAAAGTTTAGTTTTGCATTAGTCATAAACCATAACCATGTAACTTATCAAGAATTAAATGATAATATAATATAATACCATAAATATTTGTATTGATATTTATTTTTATTTAGGTAATTAACACTTGACATTTTACATTTTTCAAAGTTAATTGAAAACATTTACAGAGTTAATATATATTACATCAGAAAGCTTTTTCTATTTTAAAATCAATAGGTACATCAGTACTTTCCACTTACTTTAATAACGAAACCTAATTCGATTATTTACAAATCTGAAATCGTTAAACTTTTTTTTATACGTGAACTGTTAAAAAATATTTTTAGTAATAAGTAACATATTTGTCATATTTAATTCAAATATAATCATATAAATGCTTACATTTTAATTCAATTAATTTGTCTAATGTGAATTACTTACTAACCCAATACGTATGTATTTTCTCATTATTCCTTGTTGTTTCACACAATTTGTCACCAAGGTTATTAAAATTCAAATACTCAATACACATAACTGCATTATAAATTTTTGTTTCTGTATGAATATCCCATAGTGTTGTAAAATTAATTGTATTGATTTTGTAAAAAACTAAATGATGTGACGAAAGAAGATTTGGGGCTTTTAAATGCCACACGAGTCTAGTTTTTTACAGTCGTGCAGTCGAGGGTCTGTTCATGTTGTTTGGTAGTTATGTTTATAATGCAATTTTTCATAAACTATTAAATTAGTGAAAATTAAAAAAAGTTGAGTATAAAATATAAATTTACAATACGTTTAAATAAGTGTCTGAAGTAAGAATTTTGACAAATTCGTCAAAATCACGAATTAACAAAATATTTTGAGTTAGATATTCAGTGATTTTTATCACTTTTTGATCATATTGAATTAAAATTTAACACATAAATTACAGTGATCTATGCTACACAAAAAATACAGCACTTGACTACCTTTAAGATTATGAACGATGAATGAATTAATTTGTGTTTTTTTTTTGTGTGCATACACAATAAGTAGTCGAAATAATGCTTCGATTTTCAACTCTTTCCGGTGGTAAAGAAAATGTAGTTGGTAATTTGGGAAGATTAACGATTCCCAGAAGTTGTTTAAAGAGCTGGGAAAACCAAAAAAAAAAATTTAATGTTTCAACAAAATCAGCTTTTGATAAAATCAATTTGTTTTTTAGTGTACCTAACTCATAAAAGAATAACCTCATAGATTTGACATTTTTATCAAATGTTTATATTATAGTTTTTTATGCTTTATACTTTTTCATTGAAATATTTTTAATCTTTTTGAGCCATAAATACCTAGGCATAAGACAATTTCGTTATTTATTAGTTTTTTTAAGAAAACCTTAAGAAGAAATTTGATATTTTAAGAAAAAATAACGATTTTTATGGGTATTTAGTTATAATTTGAAAATATTCTTTGTGGGCACTTGAATTTTTTTATGTATTTATTTGAAATTATTTCAAAACTATTTAATTAAAAAAAATCGTTAGTGTTTGTTCAAGTAGATAAAATGTGATAATAATTTCAGCCAAACCAAACCAAAATGTTTGAACGATTTTCTAAAAAAATTAAATATTTATTATAGTTAATATAAGACAAGTATTTACGAATATAATTGTCATGTATATGTGTTTTCGTCATAGGCATGCGCAGGACTTTGTAGCAGGTGTTGCCGAAAATTATTCAAAAAGCATTTAAAAACAATTTGAGATGGTGTTGAGGGGTAAGTAAGGAGTCTTAGTCTCCTGGACACAAGTCACTTTAAAGCTTTACTTAGTTTTAGGATATTAAACATACATTTTATTCAATCTATGATCTTAACTTTTTAGTATAAAGTGTTATAGTTCATTGAAAATAACAAAAAAAAAAAATTTGAACAACAAACCGAAAACTGAAATGCATTAGTCACAGTAATTTGTTGTTTAGCATACCCTGTAACGCCCATGCACATAACTATGGTTTTCTCATTATAAATAAAAAAATAAAAGAAACTTTTAATTTATTTAGTTGTCAATAATGTCATACATATGTATTTTAGATAGTTGGTACGTTGTGTAATTAATCATCGATGTAAACTATTAAAATAATACTTAATAAATTGCACTAACTGCCTATCTTTGTACTACACGGCTATACCAAGACTTAGTCTTTTAAGTTTTATTACAAATAATTTCATTGATTTGACATTTTTTACTTAAATATTTCTATTGAGTTACGACTAAGATGGAAACGAATTCACATTATCATAAATATTATTATTACATTTACTGTTTTATCAATATATGTAATTTGAATGCCAAATACCACTCACTCACTGATAAATCTCAAAAACTACAAAACGTATGAACTTTACATTTAGAATACCTAGCGGTTCCTCTAATGATCTAGATATGCCACAAGAAAGGATTTTCAGAAATTCACATTTGAAATAGGTGCTCGTACAAGGATTTTGAGATTCACGATGGAAATCGAATATTTTTTAGTTTATATAAAAATGTATGGCTGACATTGGTTACAAATTATAATAATTATAATAATAATAGGAATTAGAAGGAGTTTTTATTATTTTGTAAGCGACATTAGTAATTTACAATCGTTATCTCTTTGTCGCCGAGCACGTAGTTGTTCGGTCATGTGCACACCGTACTGCCAGCGGTTCTGATGCACGTGATCCACTTTCCCCTAACTTTGTTTTAATTTGAAAACACACATGGAGCTCATTAACGTTGGTGGTGTCATGGTACCTCATCGTGTTGTGCATGTGGAGAGAGACGGTTCGTGCTTTTTTTAATTCATTAACGTATCTCATGTACGGAAATGTCTTACGTGCAAGTATCGTACAGCACGTTTGTAAAAACTGACAACGATTTGAACTGTACCTACAGCGTGATGCAGTGTGGACAGTGTGGTAATATTATTTACAGGATATTACCGAAAATCATGCTCACACTTATGCGACTTTGCTATTTCAACACACCAAAAAAACACCTATGATGGTTCCAATTAAGTAAAAACGACAACCTTGGTATAACTTTGAAACTTTACAGTTTTTCTAGAAATCATACACTTGTGCACTCTCCTCAGGAAGGCTCGCAATCCACAACAGGTGGGTTGCCAACCTGATAGTATAGGTAGTGCTGCTCGCATAATCACAAGCAAGTCTCACGAGCAGCCTATTTGGAACGGGCAACGCCAGCTGGGATGGCTAGTAATACATTATATAATATATATACCTAATTACATCACTATAACATACAAAGTTGTTTTATTTAAAACGTCATAAAAATAGTAAATAGTATCTATCTAGATAAGCATGATAACACCTACTACCTACACTAAAAAATTATATTATTTCAATATTTCAAAATTTGGAGTGTCATTTGTTTATGAATTATAGGCCACGTGTGATGAAAAACATAATTTGTCTTCGCAGTGAAAAAATAAGTTCTATGTACAACGTAATTGAATTTAAAATGGTATAATGTTTCAAGAGTTCTTGATCTGTTTAACTATAATATTAAAAGGGCGCAATAGTGAACAAAATATGTCATAAAAAAATGGTTTCGTACTTCAAGTAATAAGGCTTAGTGAAGCGATTAACAGAAAAAATATCTAAGATAAAAATTGTAGAGGAGAATTTTAACTAGAATTGTAAGAAGCCCGACTTTCGATATTTTTATAAAGAAGTTAAATAATTAATCGTTAAAAAAAACTTGTTAATTTACCATGCGATATTGTCCGATATTGGAAATTGGAATACGATATCAAAAATCAGGCTTCTTATGATTCTAGACAAAGTTTGCTCCTCTACAATTTTTATTATAGGCATTTATACTGTAAAACCTTTTAGTAAGTCCATTTGAAGCTAACTATTCATATATTTTTTAATTTCGTGCTCCGATCTATAATAAATGTGATATAAGAATATAGCAACAAATACACTTTTTACACATATACAAAAAACACCGGATAGCACTTAATACAGTCTTTTCCGGTAGAGTATCTACTTACATTGGTGATTACTGACTTGCTAGGCACAAGTCACTCAAACACGGCCTTTGACTTTACACCTTTTGGTGTATACAAAAATGATGAGTAGTTGATAGAGAGACGTGTAACAATGCACCAAAGGGTACAGCTGTTTCAAATAAAATATTTAAAATGTTTATACTTAAAATAAACTATTCTTATCTCGGGAAACGTCGAGGAATTCAACTTAACATAATGTAATGAAATCTAGTAATAGCAAAACATTACCGGATTATCTTGTAAAATATAAACACTAATAAATTCCCATGATTACAGCCAAAATATTGACGTTTTGTGAAACTTCTCGCAGTTATAAGTAGGTACTGACGTGTGTTGTGCGTACAGTCATAAATTGATAAAAATACCTTGCAATTGGAATTTTAATTTTACTTATTTTGTCATCACATTTATTTAAGATAATCGTAGTGTGTGATAATTAGGGCCCGGATTTATATGCATTTGTATGTTTTTTTAACAGCCCAAAAAGTAGCTAGATAAGCTACAAATTTGAATCTTAAACTAATGTGATGGTATGCAAAATTAAATGTTACATATTTTTTTATATTTGAATCATTTTAAATTTGTATGCGTGTTTTAGCATTTTTCTAAAATATGATGCATATTTACAAAAATATAGTATTAAGTTATTAATGATAATACTAAGCTTGCTTCAGGTAGGTACCACTACGATAATTTATCGTTGATAATGATTTCAATAGCGAAAATTAATTATAAATGGACTGATGGACCATTATAGACTTATCGGTTTAGTTTTTATACAATAGTGATTCGCGATAGTATGTGTTTTTGTGTTTAGGTAATTTAGAAATTTTATAAAAACATATTAAATATATTTTAAATAATTTTCGTTCATGGTTTTGTATTTAGATGAGTGAATGTGCAAAATGCAACATACATTATACAAAATACAGTTAAATTATTTCAAATAGGCATTTAAGTCATGTTTTTATTCCATATTTATTACTTAATGAGTTATAGACATTTTTAAACCAAATAAATTTAATTAACATTTAACATGCTATTTTGTTTACATATTTTTGCATATTCTTACATATTTTAGGGGCATATTTGAACTAACCTAACCCTTTATCGGTCATTAACAATTATTCAATTTTAGCTGTAGAAAAAATAATAATACCTATATATTACTTATATGATACTGAGTTTAGTATGTTATTTACGTACGTTTATTGAGAGTACTACCTCAGTAAACACTAATCAGTTCAAATACGTCTGTCAATTTGTAAGTACGTCGTGCGTGTTTCGTGTTTGATGTGTGGTTATTGTATTTTCTTTAATATTATTTAATATGTCTGTATCAATAAAAATAAAAATTGGTAAATTAAATGTTAGTAGTTGTAATAGCAGTAAATTTCAAAATTCATGCACTGAAGATTATGGTATGGTCAAAAAAGGTGAAGAGCAGTATGTATTTTATGTTCAACCACAATAGTATGTCTGTTAAACGACACTATGTAACTAATCATAATTTTCTTTTGACAAAAAAAAAAAGAAGAATAAAAAGAGTATATTCTACAAGCAATTAAGAACAAAAATTTGCAGACAAATACTTGAATGAAGTTTGTGGGTAGCAATTCAAATATTGTTGCTGCAAGTTTTGCTGTGTCAAATGTTATTGCAAAGCGTGGAAAGCCCTTTTGCGATGGAAAATATATTAAATATTTGATGCTGGAAACTGCACCATTTCTATTTGAAGATTTTTCTAGTAAAGATAAAATTATGCGACGCATAAAGGACTTACCCATAACCAGAAATACTGTAAAAGGTCGGATTTTAAAAATTGCAGAAAATATCTCGTATCAACAATTTGCAAATTTTAAGTTGCGTAATGTATTTTCAATTTGTCTTGACGAGAGCACTGAGTGGGTACGCAGTGTTCAAAAGGTTGGCCATCCCTGTACTAGACTTATGATTCGAATAAACTAATTTTCAATTCCATTACCTAACATGTGATTATTGCAGCTCATTATTTATTAAAATCGTTATAAATTTTTTAACTTTTAAGAGACTTCAACTGGAGCTTATTTAAAAGTTACAATGAAAAAAGCTTAAAGCATTAAGAGTTGTGTTTTTTTTTTTACATTTTTAACACTTATGCTACATTTGTATTTAATTGAGCATACTTGTCTTTATAAAGAATAAAAAAACCTCATGATCAATAAAATTCATAATATAGGTATTTTTAATAAGCTGTAAAATGAGCCCCGATTGAAATCTCTATCTTAAAAATTAAATACGAACTCATACCTATATAAGACAAGTATTTTATTTTTGAATGTGCAATATTTGTCCTCTCTGTTATATGAATCTGAATCCGAGCTCCGTTCTCATTATATGGCAAATCACATCATTTGGCTTATTACACGACATTTGAAGCTCTAAAACGACAATTTAATTTCAAGGTCCATAGATATACAAGTATGACTCCTGTTGTATTTAAATATTATTTATAATTTAGGTTTAAACTAGCCTAGTTTAACTAGGTTAACTATCATAGTGATCCCGAATAATTATTTTTATTGAATTATTACTTAACGAAATAATTTTAATGATATTAAATTAAATTTAATATTTTCTACGAATTGAAAATATTATTATCTTAGGTACCTATATATAATTAGGTAAAATGACGGTGTATAATTAATATTATATCAAAAATATGTTATCGATATAAATCATTCATCTAAGAAATATTATGACCTTTAAATTCAAACCAAATTATTTAATTATTATTAAAAACACAATTATGATGTATATTGTCTTTGTATTTTAGGTAGTACGATTGGTATATAAGTATTGGGTACACGCTCCTGTTTAGTCTTTGTGAAACAATCCAGTTTAGGTACATCGAATAATGCTTAGTGTCTATTTGATCACCAAACACATTTAATTTCTTAATAAAATGTTAAATATTGGCGAACGGCGTTCCGGTTTTCGCCAGAGACCCGCTGGATTTATTCAAGACTTTGATGAGCTCCGAAACCAATGCTTAAAACAAAAAATACTATTTAAAGATCCAGAATTTGATACATACGATTTATCTGTATTTCACAAAAATCTCCAAAAAAATCAGCTTGAGTGGCGGAGACCAAAAGTGGGCAAACATTTTAAATACATTCTATTAAAACTGTAACATCTACTCAATCAAATTATATTATGTGCCTGACCACTTGATAATAATAATTATAATAATATTAAGAACTGGATTCTTAGGAAATTACAAATGATCCCAAATTTTTCGTGCAAGGAGCTTCAAGATTTGATGTAAGGCAAGGAAAATTAGGTAAGTATTACATAAATTGTTAATTGTTTAAGACTGTTTATGAGTATTGACTTTGATACGAACTATTTAAATTACATATATTATCAGGTAAGCTATTAAAAGTTAGTTAATATTAACTAAAAATATTATATATAAAACTACAAACTATATAAACATTACCATTTGTTTTTAATTCTGGAAGGTGACTGTTGGTTAGTAGCCGCTATAGCGGCTATGACTTTGAACAAAGAAGTATTTTGTAACGTAGTGCCAAATGATCAAGGATTTGGTAATACATATGCTGGTATATTTCACTTCAAGTAAATACATATATTAAATTGCAGTGATGTACAATGTGAAAATCGTATTTAAAAATATTGGTGATTTTAGATTTTGGCAGTATGGTACATGGATTAACGTGGTTGTCGACGATCGTTTACCGACTTCTGGAGGAGAGTTATTATTTGTTAAATCATCAACCAAAAATGAATTCTGGAGTGCTCTGTTGGAGAAAGCTTATGCCAAGTAAGCAGTTTGAATATTTTTTTTTTAACGCATCTAATAGCTACCTGATCACACCAAAAGTATGTTTTAACATTATTGGGTCTAATAACTATGTAAATTTAAAGTAGGGCTTCTAAACTTTATTTATAAATAAACAATTTTTAAAAAATTAAACGTAATCAATAAATGAAAAACGAAATAGGAATGGATATCTACCATAAAACTTATTATTATATCATTAATCATAATTAAATATAAAATGCTGGGTTACTCTCTGATATAAAATCATTAAATACCAAATACGATTCTAAGTGAAGACGATCATCGGCTTATAATATTACTAAGTACCCATAGGTATATTTTATGATATTATTGTGATCAAGGTAATTTATATTAATATTAGCCAATAGTATAGAGGTACTACAGTAGGTTGTATTCATTTTTGTCAAAAAAATTGCATTAAAAAATGTCATCGTGTGTATAAAATATAATAATATACCTACTCTAAAAGTTTCAAGTACCCAACAAAAATAATTTGAATCGTTATTTTTGGTTTTAAATATAATTTCGTCCGAATTTGAACTTACAATAATAGACTGGGATCTTGTTTTAAATTTTCAATCCTTAGTTAAAAATTGAAGATTTTATAAATGCTGAGCTACAAAATAATTTGAAAACTTTCAATTTGATACATTTTGTCAAAATTGGACCTTTTAATGCTTATAAAAAGAATCTTGTCTATAAATTATTTTAATATTTTTAAACTGATATCAAAACAATGTGTGATGGACCTTACATTAAATTTTCAAGCTTTTTAGCTCAACAAATAAAATTGTATTAACATTTACAAAAAAAGCACTAAAAAAATTAAAAGTGTCAGTAAACAACAAAATAAAAAAAAATCGTAACATGAGAAATCGAATGAATATCTAATGTATACATTTCAACTTCAGAAGCTCATCAAGATTTTATTTGACTTACTATAAGACATTTTTTTTTGATAAAGGTAGACTATCTTATAAGGAATCTTGTATTAAATTTTCAAATCTTAGATATATATATAAAAAAATGTATGGATTTCTAACTCAAAATAATTTGTGAACTGTCGTAACTTTTGTCGAAATTCAGAAGCTCATTAAAAATTATCGTGGATTTACACTTAACTTTTGAAAGAAACATTAATTGTACTAGGTACATTTTTAATTTTTTTGATCGAGTGAAATTTTTTGATCGACATTCATTTAAAAAAAAAACTTTTTATAGTAATTATTGAAAATTTCATATGCCTAAGCTCAATATGAGTAAAAATATTTTAAAAATTAAAAGGTGCATAGAAAATGCTAATATAAACATTCAGTGAACATTTCATGTAGGTACCTACGGGCTTTTTTTACAACCACACCAAAACAGATTTTGCCCGATGCCCGTTTTTCCTGAATTTTTTTTTTGTTTTCTCCTCGCTTTTGAAAACTACTAGGAATTTTGACCTCCCGAATGCACCAACTAGATTCACCTTCCCACCAGAAAATATATTGAAGTTAAATCTAAGCATTATTTCGACCGTTTATCGTGTACACAGACACAAATAAAAAAAATAATAAACACACATAGTTGCAGTAAAGAATCGAAATAAGAAAGAAATAAACATGCATTGCGTAAAAGGAATAATTTCAAAAAACGTTTGTATTTTATTTTTACATCAAACCTGGCATTATTATTATTTTTATAGTAATGATAAACTGTTTAAAGTTGACTGATTTTGTCAATCGTAATTATCGGATCATATTTTGGAAAACATTTTTAAATAAGGGAAAACAGCTTATAGTACATTTTATCATTTATTATTCATATAAAAGTATGTTTAAATAATATCTTTACTTCTTAACTTCTTTCTTTGAATTGCATTATCTGTGTAAGTAATATTTTTTTTTTTTGATAATGGTTATTTATTATTATTACCTAGTTATAGTTGGAAAGTAAATCTTTAAATTAATTCAATCTATAAATTATTAGTTGTGAATTACAATTATTATTACTTTTCAGGTCTCATAAACTTTTTTAGTATCTATTATTAGTTTATTACATTTTAAGCTAAGCGAGACTAACGAATTCCAACACTTATCGATAAGTTATTAATTAATACATGATACTGAAAATTTCAAATGTCAAGACATTAATATGATTATTAAATTGTCCTTTAAAATAGAATTTCCTGTGAAAAAACTTACTTGGAATCTTGTGTTCAATTTTATAAATTTTATACTATAAAATATTTGAACAAATTAGACAAATACATTTGAGTAATTGCTTATAATTTAATAATTTGAACTTTTGATGGTTAGGTATATCAAGGAAATTGTGAAAGTATTTTTAATTTTTTTTATTGATTTGATGAAGGATCTGCTGTTAAATTGTCAGGTTTCTTATACTTGCAGCAAACAAATATTATACCATACATTTTTAAAAGTAAAAAATGACAACTATCTATCAACAGCTTTAAAAAAGATAAAATAATTATGAAAACTTTATCGTGTGTAGTAAATGCTAATACATGAGTTTTTGGTAAAAATATGAAGTCTCTAACATTATTTTTTTTTATACTAATTTGATTGTGTCAAAAACTGGGTTTGCATCGTTTTTTTTCGTTAATCCTGATAAGTAAATTATTTTAAACGAATCAGGATACAGAATATTTGTACTTCTATTCTCCCAAAAGTATAAACAAAATCTAATTTGCAACCATAAATTTACACATGAATAGAATCCAGGGTTCATACGAAGCTTTGGACGGAGGTCTCACAAACGAGGCTATGGAAGCTTTCACTGGAGGTGTATCAGAAATGTACGAATTAGATCAAGGAAAAACCAGTTTGTTTACAACTATGCTAAATTCTTTTCAACAACAATCACTCATGTGTGGTAGAATATACCCTACAAAATTGGTTAGATATTCAATTTAATATAAAATAATTTTTTTTCTTGAAACATCAGACATAATTTTAAACTTCACAAAACGTATTATTGTTAAAGCCTAATCCAGAAGACAAAGGAATATTCAGAAAACATGCGTACAGTATTACTAAGGTAATTTATATACCTGAAACAAATAATGCTAGTAATATACCTTTGATTAGACTTCGAAATCCTTGGGGTAAAGTTGAATGGAACGGCCGTTGGAGTGACAAGTAAGCTTTTTGTTATAATGTAAAGGATATATTTCTTAATTTTTGATTATTTAAGAATGTGCGATTTTAATTAATTAATCTTAAATTATTTTATAGATCAGATGAGTGGTTCACTATACCTCCACAATTACAACAATCAATAGGTCTCATAAAAGAAGATGATGGCGAGTTTTGGATGTCTTACAAAGATTTTGCCAAATATTTCTCTGCAGTGGTAATTTGTCATTTAGCTCCTGACTATATAGACAGGGAACAACAAGGAGCAGGAGGGCCAAAAAAATGGGATCTGAGTATATTTGAAGGTCAATGGGTCCGAGGCGTGACAGCCGGCGGATGTAATCAATTCCATGGTAGAATAATTTTTGATAATAATATAGTCATTAACGTTTATATTATTATGTCTATGTGATATACTAAATATTATGAATTATGATATATATATATTTTATATGATGTTGATTATTTAGAAACGTTTTCAAGTAATCCTCAGTACTATATAACATTAGGAGATCCAGATAATAATAACGCTAAGGATATATGTACAGTTGTTATTGCATTATTGCTAAAGGGAACACGACGCAAACAGAAACAAAAAGATAAATCATCATCATTTGGAATTTATGTTTATGATGTAAGTACCTAGATATTAAAAAAACAAAAAAGTTCAAAGTTGTTTTAATATTTTAATAATAATACAAGTTATACAATATTATTTGTAATGGTGCTTACTTTATTTTATCGTTTAGCTCAACACTTCAGAGCCTGTGCCAAAACCATTGGACACAGATTTTTTTAAAAATAATGATCCTTTAGATAAGTTTTTTTTTTCTGAGATCAAACAAAGAGAAGTCTCTAAGAGATTGGGTATATCTCCTGGTAAATATTGTATTGTACCTTGTACGTCAAATCAGAATGAACAAGGTGCGTTTTTACTCAGAGTATTTTCAGAAAAAAAAACAATTTGGCGTAAGCTTATTGAGGAACTTAATTAAAATTAAAATAAATAATACTTTGGTGTTTTATTAAGTTAAATTGTTCGTAGGGAATTTGATAACGAAGTAAGAATGGTTAATATTGATGATAAGGTAAAAAATTAAAATGTTTGAATATCATACAAGCAACTACCTGTGTTATTTTATATAAATAAAACATTTTTATAGATCAAAGAATTGGCGCTTAACTCTAATAAAAGTGGCGATTTCAGTAAAAAATTTAAAAAATACTTCTTTAAAGTGGCTGGGAGTGACATGGAGGTCGATTGGATGGAGCTTAAAAATATTTTGGATTTTGCTATGAAAGGTATATTAGTTAGCTATGAGAATATGAACTATAAACTAGTGTTAAAAGTGTTTTTACATGGGTTCCTATAATATACGTTTGAACCCATTACAACGGGCACCGATTTACTGATTTTGTTTTTTGAATTTTTGTAATAAATTGTGGTCATTTGTATAAAATTATAAGCAAATTTAGGACTTCTTAAATTTAATTATTCATTATAATTTTAACTAAAATTATAATCATACCTAAACTGAACTCTTTTCTACCCATTATATTATTAAAATACATAGATACCTGGTACCTACTTCAATATATTAAAAAATTACTTTTTTTATCTATTATTACTATTATTACTCATCTATATTAAGCGTGAATTGGTGAATTCATTTAACATTATACAACTATAGGTTCTAATAATTAGCTAAAATCCTGTCAATGTATTTATTATTTTATTAAATTAAACACCTTGTTAATTAGAAAATGTAATATGTATATAGAAACTGGGAAAACAAAATTTTCAAATGACGTATGTCGCTGCTTGATTGCTATGATGGATTGGGATAGATCAGGTAAACTAGGTTATAAAGAATTCCAAAGACTTTGGGTGGACATTAGACAATGGCAGGTGATTAATTCTATGACTAAACTACGATTTCAGAAGCTTTCATTAGGTTTTCAAAAATATACATATATTATCAATTGTTTTGTTTTAGGTTGTTTTTGAAACGTACGATAAAAAGAACAAGGGTTATATCAAAGGGTTCGAACTAAGACCAGCCTTAAGTTCAGTTGGTTACCATATTAAAACACGAACCATAAATACCATGTGTCATCGATATGCGAACAAAAAAGGATACATAATGTTCGACGATTTCATCATGTGTGCCATTAGACTTAAAACTACAATAGGTTAGTTAAAATTGTACTCACAAACATTTATAAGTACGGACTCCAGGTTGTGTCACTAAGGGAACGGCGTTCGATCGTGATTTAAAGAGGAAATGTAGGCACATTTATGAGACTGATTGTATTTTGGTTTATTTTGAATAGGTGCTCTCTCATCAGAGCAGATGTATCAATGAATAGTTTGGTCAATTTATTATTATTTTAGGTTCTCAAAAGGTTAACCTTTTCCAAAAATTGTTTATGTTCAGAATACCTACCACAATTAAAATGTTATATTCAAAAATACCATTTTTTTTTTGTATTTTTTGTTATTGTTATTTCTCCTAAATAATAAGTATTAAAAATAACTCGATTTCAAACGTCATTCTGGTTAATGAATCAAAATCTGTTTTCAATATTCAAATCGGTTACACCAATGTCCTAAAATATTGGTGTGCAGGTTTGGATACGTCAATTTTGCTAAAAGATTGTTATTATTATTATTATTTGTGCTTTGTCAGCTTAGTTTGTGTAACTATAAGATACACTTCCTAGTTACTACTCACTACTTACTAATTTATTTTTTTTAAATGTTGATTATTATAGTCCTACGATTATTTAGGTACTTAGTAGGTACATAGAGATTATGCAGTATGTTTTTCCAGACGATTGAAAATTTCACAGATTGCATCTTTTTTGTATATAAATTTCACCAGTAGATACTAACTTCCAACATGTATTACAATGAAATGTATAATATAGTATATTCTACTGATATTATTTTCTAACCAATCTTATTTCCAAATTTTGAATCAAAATTAAATTTGATTAGGTATGAAGACACGAATTTTAGTTATAATATTAATTACAAAACTCGATCAATGTCATATTAGGTAGTACCTATACTGCAATTTTTTTTGTTATATTATATGCATTTTTTATTATTATGGGATAAATTAATACTATATATTATTCTGATACATTTTTTGTAAAGTTGACGTTCTGTTCTGAATTTTTCCTACTAACCTTATCATAGTTGGCAAATTCAGTTTAAATGTATTTATTTAGATTGTTAATAGATATTAACTGTATTATTCGATTTCACCCGTGGAAAAATTAACAGGAAATTTAAAATACGGTGCTACCGGTGCATTCCAAAGGGCTCTCATCCCTTGTTGGTTCCCAAACAGCTTCAGTCAAAAAAGGTTAAATGAATACATAAATCAACAAAAAAAAATCGATATTCGAAAATAAAACACAATTCTTGGTAGGTAGCTTACTTTTCGTAAAAATGTAAAAAAATAACATTACATTTTTAATTTATGATTTATAAATTATAATACTATGGTGACTTCCATATAACGTCAATTTCTATAATTTACTTAGTAGGGTTTTCGTGGTATATGTATATATTAGGTATATATTTATAGCTTTATAAGTAGGTAGTTACCTATGTAGTATTATTCAAAAGGTACCTAAAATAAATTGCAAATTAATCAAATTAGATTCATTAGGAACCTATAATATAACATCAACGACAAACTGTGATAGGTACTATCGTTTATCTTAGACCACGGTATCGATAAAATTGAATTTATAAATAGCGGTGGTAATTTATAGTATGGTACAGATGGTACCTACACTAATATCTTCTAAGATTGTGGTTGGTATGGTATATATATAATTAGGGCCCGAAATTATATGCATTAAAAATGTACGAAATATGCATGAATTTATGCACTGATTTTCATTCAAATATGCCCTAAAAATATACAAAAATATGAAAAAATATATAAACAAAATCGCATGTTAAATGTTAATTAAATTTATTTTGTTTAAAAATGTCTATAATTCATTAAATAATTAATATGGAATAAAAAAATGTATTAAATACCCAGTTGAAATAATTTAACTGTATTTTGTATAATTATAATGTATGATGAATTTTGCACATTCACTCATCTAAATACAAAACCATGAACGAAAGTCAATTAAAATAAATTTGGTATGTTTTTATAAAATTTCTAAATTACCTAAAAACCAAACACATACTATCGTGAATTACTGTTGTATAAAAACTAAACCGATAAGTCCATAATGGTCCATCAGTCCATGACTATATTATAATTAATTTTCGCTATTGAAATCATTATCGACGATAAATTATCGTAGTGGTACCTACCTGAAGCAAGCTTAGTATTATCATTAATAACTTAATACTATTTTTTTGTAAATATACATCATATTTTAGAAAAATGCTAAAATATGCATACAAATTTAAAATGGTTCAAGTATGCAAAAATATGCAACATTTAATTTTGCATACCATCACATTAGTTTAAGATTCAAATTTGTAGCTTATCCAGCTACTTTTTGGGGTGTTAAAAAACATGCAAATGCATATAAATCCGGGTCCCCATATATAATACCTACACTATCAGTAGTTAAGGTTAGGTTGAACGTTTGGACGTTTTACATTTTTTATCAACTATTTCATTAATCATTAGGTATATTGATATGTTATGAATATTCCTTTTGAAAGGTGTTTAATTTGAGGTGCTACATGCAAATTTTTTCAAATAACTGGTAAATTAACTGGGTAAAAATTTACTGAATTTACATCTCTAAAAAAACACAAACACCTTTTTAATCACACCTTTTTTTAGACAGTTTTACAACTGTAAGCCTATATGAAGTGGCAAGAAATTAATAAAGAAGAAATAAATAAATGGGAGCCATTTGAGAATTGACGTATTTTTTCAATGGGAGGTATCTTCAGATCAATTATACAGTATTTTTAAATTTATCCCCATAATACAAAAAATATACTTAAAAGTATGTATAAAAATATTTTTGGAGATTTGTTACAATTAAATGAGGAAAAGTTGATCTCAAGTGTAGATAAATTGATATTTTGTTATCAAAAAATGATAATCTATGTGTCATATTTCTATTAAACAAATATTGAAAATCACTGCTTACATTTCCTTATAACTACACTTACTAACTTAATATGTTAAAATAATTTTTATTTATTTGATTGGTATTTTTTTTTCAGATATGTTCAAAGAACATTACACCGAAAATAAAAATATTGTCTCATTCACATTGGAAGAATGGGTGGAAAAAACATTTTACTCGTAAATTTAAACAAGAGCCATGTGTTTTTTAGAACCTAATAATTTTTTTTTTTTTAAATAAGGTTCACCATTATCTTGTCTATAATTTGGAAGTTTAGTTGTGTGTTAGACATAACAATTTAATTTATCAAGAATTAAATGATATTATAATATACAATGTTAAATATTTTTATTGATATCTGTTTCAACTTTTAAATGTAGAAATAAATCAAATTAGCGTATATATAGATGAGTAAAAGTTTCTAGTTTGTGAATAGTTTTTTTTATTTTTCAATATTTTTATTTAGATATAGATTTAAAATAATATAAATTATAATATTTAAAAAGTTTCATTTATATTTTAAAAACAATAAATCGGTACTTTAATTAAAGCTAATTTGTTTATTTACAAATCTGAAATTGTTAAATTTTTTTTTATATGTTAACCTGTAAAAAAGCAAGTAGTATATTCGTCACATTTAATTAATATAAATACTGTCATTTGTATTGCGTTTAAATTTTAAACTTGAACATATTATTATATTATTAGAGCTGTAATTTTATTTTATGTACTGATATTTCATTTTCTTAAACATTTTATTTTTTTTTTGGTGTAGTATTACTATGATTTAGGCTGTTGGATAAACTAATGGTCTGGCAGAGTATATGCTCTCCACTTGTCTCTGCAAATCATCTAACATATTTTCACAATTTTTTCGTAATTGATGGGTTTGTTGATTGTTTTTCACCATTAAAAATTAACATTCGAGTTTGTATTTATCATATTTATGGTCACAACATAAATCAAAATGTATAAACAACCTTGCATTTTATTTCCATAATTCAGTCAATTTATTTCCATCAGTGTCTCATTTTCAAAATTGAACAGCGACCATAGCATAGATTGTACTAATCTATTACTGCCGATTTACTTCTAGACATATTAATACAAATTAAATAGTTACTGGTATCATATAAATTCAATATAATTGCAAAAAAAGGATTTCCTGTGCTGGTCTGGCATACTTTCTTTAGTGCTCCTCAAATTCACAATTTATTTTGTGTTTACATATCTGTTTTCTTATTATTCTTTATCTTTTCACATACTTGTCCACCAAAGGTCTTGCATTTTCAGTATTCTTATCCTTTTTATAACAGTACACATAACTGCATTAGCAATTTCTGTTTTTGTATAAATATCCTATAATTAAATAGTTATAGAATTAATTTTTTTTAATCAATTGGATTGATTTTGTCTGGGCTTCTAAATGATGCAGAGTATAGCGTTTTTAGTTTACTGTCGAGCGTCTTTTTTAATGTAGCTGTTGAATTTAGTATTTTGTTAGGTTTAGTGATGGTAATTATAAGCATTGCTCTCCATTGTATGTGGAAGGTATTATTAATTCAAATATTCTTGAAGATTTAAGGTAAAATGTCTAGGGGTGAGACAAATTTTGAAGTAACGTGAAAAGTATACAAGGGTTTTTCCAACCTCATGTCGATGTTCAAAACAAAACTGTCTTCAAAAATGCGCACGTTTGAGTGAAATCCGACAGTCCTCAGCCATGGGTGTAATATATTTAAAAAAAAAAACAAATGACCCTGCAAAAAATAATAATAATATTAATTGTTTGTTGGTAAGAGACTATTTTTTCCCAGATTCCTAGTGGATGCTCATCCAATATTATGCACTTTAGTTGCATAATATGTATTAATTGATTTAATAAATAACTTATATTATTTTATTATAGTAGATACCTACTTAACTAAACCTGGTAAATGGTTATCATAAATTATTCTAATTAAAGTGTATTTTTCAAATACTTCATTATTTTAACAATAAACATATGAATTAACATTCAGTTGCGAATATGCAATGATGTTGTAGTTAAAAATGGTATTAGTTGTGTTGGCACAATATTATACAATATAGTTTTTAATTTTTAGGAATTTATTTGTTAATACTGTAGTTTGAAATACATGTTTCAGAGAATATATTTATGTATCATAGCAGTAATTATTATTTTATAACCCAACTATTGATAAAAATGTTGTCATAATGACTATTGGATTCATTTTGTTCTAGTAAAAAACACCATGACTAAATTATTTAGCTATGATTTACACGTTTGTTCTTTGCTTACACTTAACTTAATTGTATAATTGGGTAACTACATAGTTATTGATTTACTTATTAGGTGCTTATTGTATAAAAAATACATTTTGAAGTTGAAATTGCATTAAATAAAAAAATTGTATAACTGTAACAAAATGTCAACTACAATTAAATATCAGAACTATTAAAGACTTATTTTTGAGGTTTGATGAAATTGTACTAATTAGGAGTTGAGAGTTCTGTTTGAACTAAGACCTATAATTCATAAGTTAGTAACTTTTTCTTTTTTACAATGTTAACACAGATGATACATTCCCATAAACCATAATCAATCGAGTGCAAACAAAATACTTCCATATGTATGGCTGCATTTACAGTGTACTCTCGATTATCCGCTGTCTTCCGCGGAATCGTCTACATACCTATATGTATACAAAAAAATATACATATAATGCATCTTTCTATTATAAATCATTATAGGTTTAATTGGGTTCAAAAAACTTCAATCACATGTTCAAAAGAAGAGTTTTCAAACCAACAAGCAACAACTGTGACTGATTTTTTTGCTCATCAATAATTTATAATTTTTTATTAATTTTTCATTTTACATACATGTGTATCTTTTTTAATAATATGTAATAATAATTTTTAATTACAAATTCTAATTTATTTTTCATTATAAAATTTAATTTTGCGGATTATTCGCGGAATTTGTTTATCCGTGGATGTCTTGCCACCCTATTCCACAGATAATCGAGAGTACTATAATATTATGTTCTTCATTACTAAACTATTATTAGTTTGAAAGAGAAAATAGAATAATAATTTTATATTTTTTGTGGATGTTAACTATGGATAAATTATTATTTTCCAGTCAAAAACTTGTGCTCCCTTTTCATATCATACATGTATTCCCTATTTTCCACCTAATATTGATTATGTGAATGTCACCAATAACAACCCAATTTTTAACTATTTATTTGTGCATCTATAAGGAATATTAAGCTATTACCACAGATTATATAGAAGATTTTATATAATATGTGCTATTATATGACAATTGTCATTATTATAAAATTAATATTTTACTCTGTTTTCATTAATCATAATACCTATAATTAATAAGCAAGATTAATTTACTATCAAAATATATGTTCCGTACAGTATATTTTTGATATTCACTAATTATTATTAACAAGTATTAAAATATTAAGTATCATCAAGATATTCTTGATCTTTTAAATAATCCTAAACAAAAGTATAAAGTATTTTGGAAACTATTATATTTTTAAATTACATACAAATAAATAAAATTATAATGTTGAAAAATTATTGTTAAGTGAGTATAAAATTTAAAAACATTCAAAATATTATTTTAACATGACAAAGTAAATTAAAATTAAAAAAAAAAAATGAGAGTACATTAATTTGAAAAAGTTTACCTATATTATTTTATTACATAAAAACATTAAATTTAATTTGTAATTTACCCATTTAGATATGCCAAGGTAGGTCAATGTTCGAGTATTCAGATAATGGCATGTCAAAAGGTAAAGAAAAATACGGTGATTTACTTGCTTCAGTTTCATCTATAGAAAATACATCTGTTCCAATCTGCCAAGATAAAATAAATAATGTTTAGAATAATAGAAAATTTAACAAATTAAAAATTATATAACTACCAAAAATTGAGGCAAGAACAAAACGCCAGCTTCCTGTGACATTATGTAGTTACACTGTTCATCTGACTTAAGTTTTCTGCCCCAAGCAGCTTTTGATAAATTAGCGCTAGTCAACAAAAACCAAGACATTTGTGTACAACATGATGAAACCCTGCAATAGGTTTTTATATGAGGCATGGCCTTTGATCGCTTCCGTGAATGACATTTCCACAAGCTGTAAAACAATGTATCAACATAGAAATTATGCAAAAGAAGATTAACATTTTTCAAAACATCATAAAATACTTACCACAAGTAGTTTCTAAGCCACAATTGATTTTCATGAACTTTCTTATTGTAAGCCAAACAGAGACCATCTATAGGTCCATTCCAACTATTCAAAACATTTTTCTCAGATGGGTAAATCTAAAAGGTACAATTCATTATTTAGGTTAAATGCTAAAATCATTGTTTATCGCACCAAGTTGAAGGGAATGGAATTATTTTCTGTATCAGTATCACCACAATAGGTAGAAGCGGATAGACTTTTGATAAACTCTGGTTTCAACCATTCCTTGTCTGTAGTACCCAAAGACCCCAGAGACGAACATTGAGCTATAATAGGCCATTCTGAAGGTACACCAAATGGTAAACGAGCATGTTTTTTCAAAATACTTTTTAAATATAAATGACCCCACAACTGTTCTTTGTGCTTGCCTGGAATACTAGGAATGAAAAACACACTACAAACCAAAAAGATTTCAATTATTTTTGTTTTTATTATGGTTTATAATATACTCTTACTTTGCTTGACTGAAATCTACTTTTTCAATTTTTTGTATCCATTGACTTAATGATTCTTCTTTAAAAGATTTTAAATATCGTAAAATATCTATTTTAAAATCAGTTTTAGAATTACCATCTGACTTATTATCCTTCTCTTTCAATGGAAATTTTGGGCTCACCCAAATCCTAAATGTAAAATAATTCAATCAAAAATAAAAACAACAGTAATTTTTCTTACCCTTGAGCATATTTGGTCCAATCATCTTCAGTCAAATTTGCTGACATAACAACAACTCGTAAACTACCATCGGCATAAGCAAACATTGATACTTTACTGAAATTTTTAATGCAACAACATTTGTAATTAAAAGTATTCAATGGTTTTATGATGAGATAAAAATTATTGTTACTCACCTATGCTGATGACCAAAAGCATTTGGATTAGTTATTTTTTTATGCTTAACATTTGGTATTTTCTTATTTAAATGTGGCTCATTTAAATCTACATCACAGCGTTCGTATAAAAGTGTAATTCTTTTTCCTCTGAAAAAATATGATAATGTATAATTTAATTATAAAAAATAATATTACCTTAAATTACAATTGTACAAACTTATATTTTTAAGACTTATTATTTTGAGTAATTTATATTATTATTTATTTTTTATTTATTTATTTACCATTAAAACATTTAAATATGATATTACAATTACGTACAACTTCATTAATTAATTATAAATATAAATGTTATATCTACTCCCTGCAAGCATTGCTTGTAATGGGAGTGGAGAGTCTAATTACTACTCTATTAAGTATTTAATAACATAATATTATAATTGTATACATATTTGTTTTATACACCTAATTTCTATAATTTATGTATGTACAATATAATTAAAATTTAATTTAACACTATCTGATTATTTCATAACCCTTTATCTGGGGTGGGCGTATATATACACATTTTCTAAAAGCACTGTCAAAAAAAGCATGTATGTTTTTTCTGCTAATTAATTTTTCTTTTTATTTGTGTCTATCCGATGAAATTACAATACAATACTCAAATACCCATTATAAATGATCTATGAAATTCAACTATAATTAATCAGTTTATGTAAATTGTTTATGAAAAATAAGACTTATATTGGTCTTAATTTTTTTAAATTTTCCATTCCAAAGATGTTCTTTAAGGTACAAATATTCCAATGGATAAAATATTTCAATACATTTTGATTTAATGTCCTAAACTCATAAATATAGTTTATTAATAAACTAAGCTAAAATATGTAACACATTGATGGGATTTAATAAATTTAAATTTGTTTGGAACCTAAATTGCTAATCATATAAAATTAGCTAGTACAAAAGCATTTATTGAATGCAATGAATAAAAGTATATTTCTTAATTTCTGACCTATTCATAAACATTTTTCTACTACTTTCATTTAAGATGCAAGATTTTTAAAAAATAGAATATTAATCAAATTTAATATACATCAGTAAGATAGTAAAATTAAAAATCTTAAATGCTTAAAATTATATACAAAAATATTATACAATATATGATTTTACATTTGGAATTATTGATGTATAAACAAATTTAATGTTTAATTTATCATATTTATTTGTTTTCTATAATAATTAGCAAATGCTATTGAATCTTGATTTAATTTTTAAATTTTTTTTAATATTATTATTTAAATTTATAATTATATTACCTTTGACCAGTTATGAAATATTGAGCAAGGAGCCAGCCGAACTCGACCATAAAGTTTAGGTGAAGTGATTCGGTTAAATCACCGAGACTTTTGTCCAAGAGCTCTGAAACAAATAATGATAAAAGTTAAATATTTAATTATGTGTATTGCGGTTAAGAACACAATATTGATAACAGCTTAAATTCTATTAGTGCAGCGTGTAAGTCGTCTTCTGCAATATACAGTAACTAAAACTGTTTACTGTATACACACCTGGAAACGATAGAGTTGATTTTTCAGTGTGTGTTCCCGAATCGCAGGATATCGGAGACATAAACATTCTGTAAGGCTCGGACCGCTCCAACTTTTTGTCAACCGTTCCTTTCGTGAGTTTCCACACGTCGTCGGTATACGTACCCGGACCTTCGCTAGCCTTTCGCTTCAGAGGCCCAGAGCCGGAAGCCATTGTTCGGAGTGAGTACCGTTGATTTTGACGGGGACGAAAATTAGGACACAAAAATCGTGCAATTATCGTAATGGGTTAAAAAAATTTTCAGACAGTCAAAACGACGAATCACGAGAAAACTGGCATAGGACTATAGGACATCCGACGCGGCGGCTATAAAAAAAATCGACCACTTTATGAGAACAACACAAATTCACAGAGATACCTGGACAATAATATTGTTATTAATTATTGTTATTATACCGACATTACTATCAAATATCGGCTATCTCAGTCGCGGATGTTGTCATTAATTAATGATAAGCAGTACGCAACGGCACCGCATTAGCGCTCGGCGCAACGAATCGTCATGTCAGGCCACGGTGTAGAATGTAGGTGATGTGTGCGCCCTGCAACTCGAGCCTCAGTCACACAGATGCAGATATCGCGATGGAGTACGATTAATGGAGTGAGGTGGTGGTGTAGTGGAGTTCGGGACGAATCCCCCCCCCAGGACAAAAAAAATTTTCGTTTTGAAATGGCTAAAATGAAAAACATACACGTCGTGAAAATTGTAACGGGTGCGTTATAGTAATAGGTACCTATTATAGTACCTACTCATTCGTCAAACTATGATTGTTCGGGCCGGGAACAAATGACAATAGTTCGCGATGCCCGGTCACCAAAATACTTCGTACGCACTCTGTACACACCGACCGACCTGTGTTATATGTGGTACCTAGTCAGAAAAAATAAGTCACGGAAAAAAAAAGCCAAATTTTATAATTATATAATTTATAATTATTAGGTAATAATGCTATCTCTGGAGATGGATATGTGAGACTGAAAGAAATTTATGAAACAATCTAACAAATATATAATCTATCTTTACCCAAAAACGGTTTTAAGGGAATTTCCTTCAGTAATTTTCCAACATGTCACAATTGGACAAAAATAAAATGATACTTTGTGGATAAACTACATATTATCTTGAAATTAATTGATTGATTTATGTCTTACACCTAGTTATTTGTAACGTATCTACTATGTACAGAGTGATTTTTTTCAAAAGTACATGTTGCAGTATAAACCAATATTAAGTTATATTATATAGTACCTATACAATTTGTATTTAATTATTTTCCCACCAGAAAAGTAGAAGTTAAAAATATTAAATAAGTAAATTTATTAAATTTATAATAAAAAAAAAAAATACACATTGTAAAAACTTGTAGCTCTAAAAAAGTACTAAATATGCAAGCATATAGAAATAAATAGAATGTTAGATAATTCAAAATATAATTAACAACACTTAATATAGGTAACTAAATTTTTAAATAAATAAATTGGCTTTTTTCAGGTGGCTTTTTTTCCTATATTCGCTATATGTGTATATAGGTGTTAGCAATTTGGTTAGAGGTGGACTGGTTTGCCGAGCAAGACTGTCGAATGCCAGTGTGCAGTGGGTGTGCATATGTGTGAGTGTGTGCTTAGAAACTAATGGTAGGAGGGTAACTCGATACAATTGGTAACACGGTTGCTGGTAAGTGGTAACTGACTTGTATTATTTTACAGATTTAAATAATGGACAATACAAATTTAAATAATACACAAATATAATAAAATGTGTGGCCCCCTGGCCCAACATCTCAGTACATAAAGTATAAACATAAATTAAATATAAATAATAATAAATAAAACTCACGGGCCACGGCTTGTGGAGCTGGGCAGCTGCTTCCTGTGCTTAAATAAGTACAAATAGACACACATGACAGCAAAAAACAATGAAATTAATTTAACAAATAATAAGAAAATCAATATAAATAAACATTAAAATGTGTTGTGTGTGTCGATCGGTGGCGGAGTGGTAAGTACGCGGCGTAATCAGTGCCTATTATTATTCGTGGGCTTTAGACAATGATTGAATTTCAAAAAAGTTGATTTTTCGTCTGAAGAGGTACAAAAATAATAGAAAATAATTGTTATTGACATAAAACTATATTTTTTGTGTAGATATTAAATATTATTTATCATTTTTAGTAAATCGTCTTTGCGTTGCGGCCAGTGGCCCATGGTCCGTGGATGTGTTTGTGTGTGCGTCTATTATTGTACCCACCGGCATATCGGAGTAGGTACTTACCCGATAAAAATATTATTAATCTTAATATGTTAATATTTTATTTAATATTATAAAAAAATTAGTTGTGCGTTAGTACAAATAGAAACGCAATTAAATAAGAATAAATTCATATAAGTCTATCATACAAAAATGTCTTATTGATTATATCTATGACAATCATAGTAAAAAAGTGGATAAGTGGGTGTTGTTCTGCTGCTTATTACTTATTAGGTGTCTAGAAGGCCGCTGTAATGGACGATATTACATTTGAATTCAATGATATCAATATATCATATCATCGAATACCAAAAACGATTCTAAGTGGAGACGGTGTAATGTCAGTCAAGGATATTTTACATTGTTATTACTTATTAGTTATTATTAATACGGTAGCCAGTAAGTCGAATTAATATTATTTCTAAGCTATCAGTGATTCTGGAAAAATATTAAATATACTTATGTAAAATCTGACTGTTTTGGAACTGAATTACAACAAAATGACTAAAACCGTTATTCTTTGTGTTAATGTGTAATTTTGTTTAAATTTGAACTGTATATTATTATAAAACAAAATCTTGCATATGCATTTTTAATATTTGTTAACTGATATTGTGACAATAATTATGAGGAGCCTTGTATTCAATTTGTACTTATATTTGTATGGTTTGGACCAATAAATAAAATTTTCTTGACATTTATAAAAAAAAAAACTAAAAATGTCCGTAGACAGCTCAAAACAAGTCATAATTCCGGTACATATTTTTTTTTGATAAAGGTAGACAAATTTAAAAGAAATCTTGTATTTAATTTGTAAATCTCAGATACAAAAAGAAAATTTTTTATGTATTTCGAACTCAAAATAATTAGCTAATTTTCTTGTTTTTTTACGAATTTTGTCAAAATTCTAATTCGAAAAATAAAGCTTAAAAATTATTGTGAATTGTGCTTATTTTTTTAAAAATTTTAACTAACAGCAACTTACAATTAACCTTGTATTATATTTTCAATATTTTTGACTTATCGAACAATTTTTTATCGTCAGTTGTATAACATATAATAATCGAAAATTGCATGTGCTTATAAATAGTTCAACGCGAGTCCAAATATTTTGAATTTTGTATGGTGTATAAAAAACGCCTACACAAACATTCAGTGAAAATTCCATGTATCTGTGGCCTTTTTTTTTGAGAGTTACTCTAAAAACCAAAACTGATTTTGCTTAAAAATTCCTGTTTTTCTTTAATTTTTTGTTAGTTTTTCCTGTCGTTCTTGGAAACTATGGGGAATTTCAAATTTTGACCTCCTGAATGCACCAACTAGATTCACTTTTTTAATAGAAAAATTGCCGTTGCAGAAATTCAACGCACTTTTACAGCCCTTAACTGACCCAAAAAATAAATAAATATATAAAAAAACACACATCATTGTAAAATCAATACATTCAATGTTCCACTCAAAATCTAAAATTAAAATAGTTAAGCTGATAATGAGATTGGTATCCATAAGTTTCATCAATTTTACATTTATTTATTCACTCTTTTTTTATTTATGTAATTTACATTTATAACTTTTGAACGTTTATTGGAAATATTTACATAACTACATAATTAATGTATACTTAATAGTTAGTCAGTTTTATTTCTATTTTTAATAAACAATACATGTAAATATTTACTCTAATTCATTTATTTACACATCTTTAAATAAACTATTAAACACATTTTTATATTTTAAATGCTTAAAAATAATAGGTAAGTAACATATTGTCCGTCATATTTAATTAATATATAATAATATCAACACTTATTTTTTTGTGTTTAATAATTAATTATATAACTTAAGCATTATATAATATATGCACTATAATTATTTAAAGCAATATAGCTGTAATTTAAAAACGTTACATTGAAAATAATTTTTTTGAACACTGGTATTTAGTTTCTTAACATTTTATTCTTTTTGGTGTTGTATCACTATGATTTATAGTGTGGTATATAAAATTAATGGTCTGTCAGAGTTGGTACCTAACTCAAGTATAAGTATGCGTATGCGTATAAGTATAAGTCAGTGGTTGCTGTGAATCGTCGCCTACTATTTTCAGCTTTCTTAATTAATTAATAATAGTGATTGTCGATTACTTTACATCAGAATTTCATTTTCATACTTTGAATAATATTTATGTTTCCTTTGAAAGTCTGAAAATTGATCAACTACCCCGTCTCGACACAGGTGATTGAAGAAATCAATTATTGTCTATTTACTTCTACATATCCATAAAACTGAAATGGTATCATATTATTTTATTGTAATTAAATACGAATAACCGTAGACTTTTAAATTATTTAAAAAACGTAGGTATCTACGACTACAAGGCATAATTTTTAATAATATTTGGAATAATTTTGAGCTAAAATTGAAAGACGTGTATTATGAATGAAGGATTCATCTGGAGGATATTTTTAGAATCTCACATTTTCGGACTTTTGATAATGCATCAACTATACTACCTCAAGGTATAGATGTACCAATCAATAACAATTTACAATCGATTAACTTCTACATGCCGAGCCATAAAACGGAATTGCTTGGATAAGTTACTTGTATTTACCATTGAGTTTATATGAGTAAATATTTATATCCTGTGAGAGTCTAGCATCCTTTTTTTAATGCATCTTAAACTCAATCTTTTAATGAAAGTGCATTCAGAAGTCAGAACTTATACTGTATACGTATACTGTTCATTTGGTTCCTCGTAATTGTCCACCTAGGTTTTTACGTTTTAATACTTGTAACATTATGAGAATTTATGTTTCTGTAAAAAATCCTATGTTATTTATTTTTAAATTGAATACAGACACGGACAAAAGAAAAAAGTATGAGCCCGAAGGTTAGCAGTAAGAAAAACTGTCCGAATGGTCAAATTATTATTTTAGAATGTTTTTTTGTACACATTCAATTGAGATATAAAAATATAAAAATGTTTTTGTATATTTACCAATTTTAAAAATAAAACATTGTTTAAAATAATAAATCATCCATATTATTCTCTATACTATATAGAGTCTATAGTCACTTGAGCTTTGTTTTTAAATTTTTGTAATTGTTGATACATCTGTACAAATTCACTAAATTATTATTTCATGTATTTAAGAAATCACATTTTATATTTATAAAGTTTAAAATAAAACAGTTTATGAA